GTGTGTAGCGTCAAGAATATGACATGAATATGCATTGTTTCTTTTTCTGTCTATGTCTAGATGTATGTTATTTGCAGGAGAAAAGTATAAGTGACTCGAAATAGTCTCTTGTCACATAATTGTGGAAGTGCGTTTTCAAAAAGATTTTAAGTTGGATTTTGATTGAATTTGTTTATAGCAAGTGGAGCAAAATGTCCGGGAAGGGGTGATTGATGCGGATGCGGAAGAGGAGGATAATGAGGCTATTGTGAAGTCAACGACTCCCCATATGTTCTGCAAGACTCTCACAGCTTCTGACACTAGCACTCATGGAGGATTCTCGGTGCCTCGTCGAGCAGCTGAAGATTGCTTTCCTCCCCTGGTAATTTTCATCTACGATGCATTCATTTTTTCGGTCTAAATAACCATGCTAAACTTTTTTATTGAAAATTTTATTTGATTCATCCTTTCCTACTATGTTAGACTTGAGTATCGTCTTTAATATTTTAAATGTTTTCTGTCATGCTTACGTTACCCGTTTCAAATTGTGCTTTCTGTCATGGTTTCAAATTTCTTGAAGTATAATTGGATACTCTTTGATAGCATTTTGAATTTGAATCCACTACTTCATTATTTTAGGATTACAGCCAGCAGAGACCTTCTCAAGAGCTTGTAGCTAAGGATCTGCATGGCCTGGAATGGAGGTTTCGGCACATCTACAGGGGTATGTCGCGTATAGCACTTTACATTGTACTACACTGCCAGCTGACTGCTCGAAGGTTTGATTTATGGTGTTCATGTGAGCAGGGCAGCCAAGGAGGCATTTGCTGACAACTGGGTGGAGCGCATTTGTGAACAAGAAGAAGCTTGTGTCTGGGGATGCTGTGTTGTTTCTTAGGTATCATGAACTGAATTCTATAATATATTACAAACTAGTATTCCTAACAATGACTTACGATTTATCATTGACGTATAAGGGGTGATGACGGAGAACTGAGATTAGGGATCCGAAGGGCTGTTCAGTTGAAAAGTTCCGGTTCTTTTGCAGCTTCTGGCATGCAATTGGATCCGGGCTCTCTAATGGACGTTGTGAATGCTTTATCCAAAAGATCTGCGTTCAGTGTTTGCTACAATCCAAGGTATTGTTATTGTAATATTTCTGGTTTAGCCCCCTCCCTCTCTTTTCATTGTCACGCCATGATGTGTACGTAGATGTCTCGTGTAGTCTTGTCTTATATATTTCACTTTTTTAATGTAGGGTCAGTTCTTCAGATTTCATCATACCTGTTAACAAGTTCATAAAGAGCCTTGATTGTTCTTACTCTGCTGGAATGAGGTTCAGGATGCGTTTTGAAACCGAAGATGCTGCAGAACGAAGGTTTGTTGGTTGTCAAACGTGTTCTTGTTACATACAAATTTACCTATCAATAACTGATCTTTGTCTAACTTCTGACGTGCAGATTCACTGGATTAATTGCTGGAATAAGTGATGTGGATCCTCATAGATGGCCTGGATCAAAATGGAAATGCCTATTGGTATGGGGCTGCAGTTTTTCTAACTTTAATGTGTAATTATTTGTCATGTGACGTCATTTTTGTAGTATACTATAATTGGTGAACTCTATGCTTACAGGTGAGGTGGGATGACATAGAAGCATCAAGGCATAATAGGGTTTCCCCTTGGGAAATCGAGCCGTCTGGTTCTGCTTCCACTACCAGTAACCTGATGGCAGCAAGTTTGAAGAGGAGCAGGATTGGATTCACTTCGTCCAAGCTAGAATTTCCAGTTCCTAGTAAGTTTCTTGAATCTTTATTCTTCATTCGTCTTACTTCATTGTTATGCAACAATGACACGACTTATTACTTTGACAGATGGGATTGGTGTGTCAGACTTTGGGGAATCATTGAGGTTCCGAAAGGTCTTGCAAGGTCAAGAAATTATGGGCATTAATACTCCCTATGACAGTATTAATGCTCAGAGTCCCCGGTTATACGAGCTAGGGAGATGTTATCCCGGTTCAAACTGTTCCGGGATTGCCTCAACAGGAAATATCAGAATGCCACAGGCATCTTCTGATTTTCCCTGCAATGGCATAGGCTTTGGTGAATCTTTCCGATTCCAAAAGGTCTTGCAAGGTCAAGAAATTCTTCCGTGTCCACCACCCTACGGTCGATCCTCGTTTGACGAGTCCCGTGGAAATGGTTTCCTTGGATGCTACGATGGTTATCAACTACTCGGTTCCCGAAACGGATGGCCAGCACAGATGCATGACAATTCTTCACATTTGCATGCATCTGTTACAGCCGGACAAGTTTCATCTCCATCATCTGTTTTAATGTTCCAGCAGGCTGTTAATCCAGTTTCAAACTCTCGTTATGATAATCCGAATCGCAGTCAGGGTTCATACATATCTGAACTGAAAAGTGGAATGTTCGCATCCTCCCTACTCAACAAGCCTATTCAGGAAAGCACAAATTCTCTCGGCATACAGAATTTTCTTAATAACAATCCGTTGGATATTTCAAGGTCCCGTGATTCGGCCTCAGCACTAAGAGGCAATCACGATATGAATTCGACATATAAAAGTGGCTGCAAACTCTTTGGATTTTCATTAACTGATGACACATACGTTGCAAATAAAGAAGCTGCTGTTAAGGACTACGAAGGCGGCTGAACGTAACCGAGCAACCGTACCAATGTAAGCTATCTCCAATCTTCCCTACACCATTCAGCATGTTGTTATCGCTTCACTCTAATTATAGATACAAATCATAATTTTTTTTGCAGGTCTATTGCCGAATGGAACTAAGGAATCATCTGATAGCAGAAGAATGTGTGCTGGTTAAGTGCTTTTGTTGTATAAGTATCAATAACTTTGGATTTCATGAAACAGAAAAGAATTATTATTCTATTTGTGTAATATGTATTTTAAAGTGGTAATGACTTAGTTAAGTGCTTGTGTATGTTGTATTAAACTTATTTGTGTACTCTTAATGATCCAAAGAGATGTAAAACTATTATGGTAAACTTATGGCTATTTTATCTACATAAAGTTGTGATATTATGATAGAATCACATTCACATTCACATGGTGTTATGGATGAAAAAGGAGCATAGTATTTATGGTTGAAAATAGTGAAGTAACAGAACATTTTATTGCTGTCTCTAACATCGTGTAACTAAAAACTGAAAATTGTGTATGATTGAAATTGAGAATGACTTTGGGTTTAGACTAGGTTTGGGACCATATAAAAATGTGACCTAACATTAATGAGATAGTGAACAGTAATAACTCAAGTGTCTGATTGAATTGGAGGGTGTGTGAACATCTGTTTTGACCCTATTGGTTTGAATTTTATGGCAAAAAAACTTACAAAGGTTACATCAGTATCCAACATATCTTATAAATGAGCATGTGCCAAAAATCAAACAATGCTAGTATTCTAGGAGTGCAAGTATAAAAGTCCTTTCAATGTTTAAGAAACTTGACACTTTGATTAATATACTTGTGTGTGTATAATCAAGAGACTCTTCTATAACATGTCAAATCTATCTATATTTTCTATAAAATAGAGTATCATTATCATTTTAAAATTGAATTAGTTTTAGTTTTTTTTAGTGATTAATTGAAATACACTATGAGTGTAAATCCATTTTACACTGTCATCCAACTAAAATGAACTATTTTGGGGTTTTTGACTGGGAAAATTAATTATGAGGAAAAGGGTTTCTTAATTTTTTTCAAAAGATGAGAAATTTATGAATAGGGTGATGACCCTTTTTGTTTTTCCCCTTTTTTGTTTGAATAAATTGTAATGTGCTTTTGATTGGTGGAGAAGATAATACAATACCCTTTTGCTGGTTTTCCTTGTTTGTTGTTCTTTTGGATGAGTCATGTGTTAATGGAACATTGTGTTTTGGATTTTTCTTCACAGGCAGAGGAAGGGAGTGATGAAGTTTATTGACAGGTCTTGTTGGTTCCTGAAAATCAGGTGAGGCTTATCTGTTATGTCATCTTATTTTGGTTTAGTTTTATAGGTTTGGATGAAATTGTGAAAAAGGGAAAAATGTCTCAATTTATAGGTATTTGATTTTGTGCTCAGGTCAATTTTTTAGTGAACAAGCTATTTGTAATGGATTTTGCTTAATGTAGTAGTGTGTAGCGTCAAGAATATGACATGAATATGAATATGCATTGTTTCTTTTTCTGTCTATGTCTAGATGTATGTTATTTGCAGGAGAAAGGTATAAGTGACTCGAAATAGTCTCTTGTCACATAATTGTGGAAGTGCGTTTTCAAAAAGATTTTAAGTTGGATTTTGATTGAATTTGTTTGTTTATAGCAAGTGGAGCAAAATGTCCGGGAAGGGGTAATTGATGCGGATGCGGAAGAAGAGGATACCGAGGCTATTGTGAAGTCAACAACTCCCCATATGTTCTGCAAGACTCTCACAGCTTCTGATACTAGCACTCATGGAGGATTCTCAGTGCCTCGTCAAGCAGCTGAAGATTGCTTTCCTCCCCTGGTAATTTTCATCTACAATGCATTCATTTTTTCGGTCAAAATAACCATGCTAAAGTTTTTTATTGAAAATTTTATTTGATTCATCCTTTCCTACTATGTTAGACTTGAGTATTGTCTTTAATATTTTAAATGTTTTCTGTCATGCTTACATTACCCGTTTCAAATTGTGCTTTCTGGAAACATCGTCTGAAAATTAGTGTCCACGCGTCGCATGTAACTTTTTGGAAACAAGGTATAAAAACTAAAGTCTACAAAACAGTTTTGTTTAAGCCAATAATTAGATGCATGAGATTAAAGCATAACACAAATTTCAATTAAGAACTTCAAAATTTCCAAGGTGACACTAACTTTTACTGTACAAAACTAAATGATTTTACTCCTCACTGCCACAACTAAAGATTACAAAAGTCTCAAAATGCAACACATATAACAACTAAGAGTACAAGTATGTTTTTTCAATGTATGAAACATTGGAATTTCAAATCTTACAGAAATTTAATTTGCTGCAACATTACATGTATTGATACCATCTTTGCAATCACTGGTCAAATCATTGAAAGTTTCAAGTTGCTTCTTACCTCTCAAGAACACTTCTGTATCAATGGATACTCTCATGTAACCATCAAATTCTACCGGAACACCGTTGTTAAGTTTTGTTGTCTCGGAGTACCATTCGCTAGTTTCATCCCAAAGTTCCTTATACTCGTCGAGAAAATGAGTAGTATACTTATCCTTTAGAGGATCGAAGAAAGATGTGTCGGGTTCGTTTGTTGCAATGTAGAGGTTTCTTCCTTCGTCAACTTTGTCCCGCAAGGTCGAGAGAAGTGCGCCCGGGGAGGTATGTGCATCGAGATTTGGCCAAAGATCCCTGTTCCTTGCTTTTTCGCCTCTCACAACATGAACCGAGTCATAATCCCAGTTTAACCTTGAAGCTATTGCGGACACTATTTCCATCAACCGCCTTGATTTCCATATCAAATGCCATGGCCTTTGAACAATAGATTCTGTCTCTCCTTCGCAGACTCTATACCAATAGTTATCCGGCTCGACAGATCCAAACTTTCTCAATATTAAAGAATCCTTCACTTCCATAAGTTTCATCGGCGTGACCCTGAAATCCTCCACGAGATGAAGATTCATCCCGTCTTTTTGTTGCCACTTACTCCAATCTGCCCAAAATTGATCCTTGTCCAACACAGACGCCGCCTCTTTCAAATGCTCAAAATCAAAGTAAAACCTAAAATCTTTCCCTTCCTCATCCTGCTTCGATGAAGTGTAAATCGAAGACAGACATATGCTCAAATCCATAACCAATGTTCGGTTAAGATACTGAGCTTCTCCAAGAGCACACAAGAAACTCCACAAGAAATGATTCATGCTCTTACACCTATCTCCACCACCCATATAAACCAAGTATTTACCTCGACTAAATGAGCTTTCCGACTCAACTACAGGAAGGCTATCATTAACAAACTCTCCAACAACCGGCAATGCATTCACCTGATCCGGCTGCAACGACGTCTTCTCTAGTCCACCTTTCTGATACTTCTTCCTCTTCCTTGCATTCATACCGGTATGATACTCCCCAATGCTAACAATGCTACGCGAACAATTCTCATACCTCTCAATCACAAACCTCCTATAATCCTTATAAAACGCCGCAGCCTTACCATCTTTCGGCCTAAACCGCCACGCCATATCGCAAGTACTATCATTAGACCCCGCAACAGGTTTCCCAAATTTATAAAAATGAATATCCTTAAACTTCTCAATAGTAGCTCTCATCATCAAATGAAAAACCTCGGGATCCCTACAATCAATAGGACCCGAATTCCCCTCACACTGCGTCGCTTCAGCCTCGTTCGACTCACCGCTAACCGAGTTATCAACATCAGTCATGTTAATAATAGAGCCAAACACAGACTCATTAGCAGCCATAAAATCCTCACCAGTTCTAACAACACTGTTATCAGACTTAAAAGTAGCATTGGATTTGGAAGTGAGGAATGTTGTAATCTTTGTTGAAGGATGAAACAGAGGATCCTCAGGTTCATAAGTAGCAGCCATAATAGTAAACACCAAAACACCAATAACAAACACTGAGAAACAAACATTCCCAATCATGGCCATGGTGTTCTGACCTAAATTCTCAGGTCTGAAACCTCCAGGTCTAGAAAAACCAGACCGACCCAACATTTTTATTCAATATCAAATCAACCCCAAGATTTATAACCTGCATAAAAACGAGAAAACAATGATACCCGTTAAAGTAAAACATTAAAATAGTAAGTATAGCATTAAAGTTTCAATTTTTATCATTATAAAGATGTGTTAAGTAATGAAATATGAGGATCTGAAAAACACCCATTAAGCGAAAATGCAAGATCTGAGTTCAGAAATGGAAACTAACCTGATAATCTTGGGATCTTACAAAATGAGGAATCAGGGAAAAGGGAAATCACTGACACGTTCCTTCTCTGTCTCAGTCTCACAGTTACAGAAAGTCTATGTATGATGAGTTATGTCTCATTTGTCAACTTCAAAAGAATTGTGATAGACGAAGGTGTGAGTGCGATACGCAGGTAGGGGCTAGGATGAGGTAAGAAGGATCGAAGGAGATGAAAATATGAGGTGTGGGGAAGAGTGAAATTTGGCGTAATAATGACTAATGATCACCCAAGTCAAGGATGATAATATTAAATTATTAAGTGTATAATTATAAAATTCAGTTTCTATATTTGTAATAATAAAAAAAATTAAATTTTCACATGCAATCATACTTTGGGGAATCATTGAGGTTCCGAAAGGTCTTGCAAGGTCAAGAAATTATGGGCATTAATACTCCCTATGACAGTATTAATGCTCAGAGTCCCCCGTTATACGAGCTAGGGAGATGTTATCCCGGTTCAAACTGTTCCGGGATTGCCTCAACAGGAAATATCAGAATGCCACAGGCATCTTCTGATTTTCCCTGCAATGGCATAGGCTTTGGTGAATCTTTCCGATTCCAAAAGGTCTTGCAAGGTCAAGAAATTCTTCCGTGTCCACCACCCTACGTTCGATCCTCCTTTGACGAGTCCCGTGGAAATGGTTTCCTTGGACGCTACGATGGTTATCAACTACTCGGTTCCCGAAACGGATGGCCAGCACAGATGCATGACAATTCTTCACATTTGCATGCATCTGTTACAGCCGGACAAGTTTCATCTCCATCATCTGTTTTAATGTTCCAGCAGGCTGTTAATCCAGTTTCAAACTCCCGTTATGATAATCCTAATCGCAGTCAGGGTTCATACATATCTGAACTGAAAAGTGGAATCTTCGCATCCTCCCTACTCGACAAGCCTATTCAGGACAGCACAAATTCTCTCGGCATACAGAATTTTCTTAATAACAATCCCTTGGATACTTCAAGGTCCCGTGATTCGGCCTCAGCACTAAGAGGCAATCACGATATGAATTCGACATATAAAAGTGGCTGCAAACTCTTTGAATTTTCATTAACCGATGACACATACGTTGCAAATAAAGAAGCTGCTGTTAAGGACTACGAAGGCGGCTGAACGTAACCGAGCAACCGTACCAATGTAAGCTATCTCTAATCTTCCCTACACCATTCAGCATTTTGTTATCGCTTCACTCTAATTACAGATACAAATCATGATTTTTTTTTGCAGGTGTATTGCCGAATGGAACTAAGGAATCATCTGATAGCAGAAGAATGTGTGGTGGTTAAGTGCTTTTGTTGTATAAGTATCAATAACTTTCGATTTCATGAAACAGAAAAGAATTATTATTCTATTTGTGTAATATGTATTTTAAAGTGCTTGTATATGTTGTATTAAACTTATTTGTGTACTCTTAATGATCCAAAGAGATGTAAAACTATTATGGTAAACTTATGGCTATTTTATCTACATAAAGTTGTGATATTATGATAGAATCACATTCACATTCACATGGTGTTATGGTTGAAAATAGTGAAGTAGCAGAAGATTTTATTGCTGTCTCAAACATGGTGTAACTAAAAACTGAATATTGTGTATGATTGAAATTGAGAATGACTTTGGGTTTAGACTAGGTTTGGGACCATATAAAAATGTGGGCTAACATTAATGAGATAGTGAACAGTAATAACTCAAGTGTCTGATAGAATTGGAGGGTGTGTGAACATCTGTTTTGACCCTATTGGTTTGAATTTTATGGCAAAAAAACTTACAAAGGTTACATCAGTATCCAACATATCTTATAAATGAGCATGTGCCAAAAATCAAACAATGCTAGTATTCTAGGAGTGCAAGTATAAAAGTCCTTTCAATGTTTAAGAAACTTGACACTTTAATTACTATACTTGTGTGTGTATAATCAAGAGACTCATGTCAAATCTATCTATACTATCATATAATTTTATAGTATGTCCAATATTTTTGAGCTTAAATTATGTGTTTTGTAATTCTATAATATATTTTTAAAATTTTTAATTTATAAATATTTGTTGGAGTCGCAGCCGAAATTTGGCTTCTAATATCGATATGAAATATCACCCTCAGTAAATTTGAACACGAAATAATATACCTAGAATAATAACTTGTATAAAGGAATATATGTCTAAAGAATAAAGATTGATTATATTGAGAAAGTAGTAACTTTGTTGTTACAATGTTGCTTGATGATTGTTACACTAAACATATGACAATTTATAGTGTCTTACATACTAATAAATGAATGAATCATGTTACAATAAAATATAAGTCGTTCCCTTATTTTTCCTATTATGGCTTGTGTTGAATTTTTCTTGTGTTGACTATTTCTACAATACTCCACCTCGTTCATAATTTAAAAAAAAATCCTTAAATTTTGGACGAAAATGGAATAATGTTTAGCAAGTTCAAGCAGTGTTGAAACTTGCTGCCTGTCACAACCTTGGTCAACATGTCTGCAGGATTTTCATCAGTGTGTACTTTCGTAAGAGAAATATGACCTTCCTCTACGACATCCCGTACAAAATGATACCTGACATCTATATGCTTGGTTCGAGCATGATGGACCTGATTCTTAGCCAAATGGATTTCACTTTAACTATCACACATCAGTCTCACGCGTTCTTGCTCAATACCCAAATCACCTAGAAGACCCCTCAGCCACAATGCTTCCTTTACTCCTTCTGCTACTGCCATGTACTCGGCTTTCGTAGTAGAGAGTGCCACTGTAGACTGTAACATCGATCGCCAACTAACTGGAGCACCGTGTATTTTGAACACATAACCAGTAGTAGATCGTCGTCTATCTAGATCACCAGCATAATCCGAATCAACGAACCCGCTTATTTGACATGTATCTTCACCAAAACACAAACCAATGTTAATGGTACCCTTTAAGTACCTCAAAACCCACTTCACCTCTTCCCAGTGTGCCTTTCCCGGATTTTCCATGAAACTACTGACAACACTTACCGCTTGTGAAATATCTGGACGTGTACACACCATAGCGTACATCAAACTGCCAACTGCACTAGCATAAGGTACATTTTCCATGTATGCCTTATCTTCTGCTGTAGTGGGAGATTGATTACCAGAAAACCTAAAATGTGGAGCTAATGGAGTAACCACCGACTTACCACCTTTCATTCCAAACCTTTCAACAACCCGCTCTAAATAGCGTTTTTGACTCAAGAACAGTTTCCGGTTTGTCCGCTCTTTTCTAATCTCCATACCCAGTATTTTATTTGCAGCACCCAAGTTCTTCGTCTCAAACTCTTTACCAAGTTTAGACTTCAACTTATCTATCTCCACCTTGCTTTTTGAAGCAATAAGCATGTCATCGACATGCAATAATAGATAGATAGAATCACCTCCATGAAGCTTCTGAATATAAACACAACTGTCATAACTACTTCTAGAGAAACCTTGTTTTATCTTAAAAGAATCAAATCGCTTGTACCACTGTCTCGGAGATTGTTTCAATCCATAAAGTGATTTTCTCAAACGACATACCTGACTCTCATTACCCTCAACCTTGTAACCCTCAGGTTGATACATATATATTTCCTCATCTAAGTCTCCATGCAAGAAAGCTGTCTTCACGTCTAGTTGTTCCAGCTCAAGATCACCATGAGCTACTAAACTTAATAGCACCCGGATAGAAGTATGTTTCACCACCGGAGAAAATATCTCATTGTAATCAACTCCTTCCTTTTGTGCAAACCCCTTGGCCACTAGTCTAGCCTTATATGTTGTACCGCTCGACTTAGTATGATCTTCTTTTCTTTTATACACCCATTTACAACCAATAGCAGACTTTCCTACAGGCAATAAGACCACCTCCCATGTCTTGTTCTTGTAAAGAGATTGCATCTCTTCCTCCATAGCAACCAACCAACTCTCTCTATCTTTGTCTTTGATAGCTTGCTTGAAGGTGATCGGCTCATCATCTTCAACCGAGAGTGCATATTCAACCAAGTTAACCTGCCCATAATGCCTCAGAGGTTTGTCTGACCCAAACTTCTGAACTGTTTTATAATTTCTCTTTTGCCTAGTGGTATCCAAAGATTCCTGCTGTTGTTGTTGTAATACATGTGTATTTTCCTGCTGAACCTCCTCATAATCATGTTCATCCTCTTACTTGTCTTCACTAGCGATAGGATTCTCCACCTGACCACGACTAGAATCTGGTTGATCTTCAGATTCTATCTCAATAACTTGCTTATTTGATATCGTCACATCACCATCTCTAGGCACCATAGATTTTTCATCAAAGGTAACATCCCTGCTAATCACAAACTTAGAATCTTCTACACTCCAAAGGCGGTAGCCTTTAACCCATGTTGCATATCCTAGAAAGATAGCTTTCTTGGCTCTATTATCAAGTTTGTTTTCCTTGACGTGATAATAAGCCGTGCATCCGAATATTTTTAGTCTTTCATAATCAACATGCTCACCTGACCACACCCTATAGGGTGTGTCTCCACCTAAACTAGAATGTGGGGATTTGTTTACAACATAACAAGCTATAGCTACCGACTCTGCCCACCATTCTCAACCTAACCCAGAATTAGAGCGCATACACCTTGCTTTCTCAAGAAGTGTACGGTTCAGTCTTTCCGCGACTCCATTCTGTTGTGGTGTGCCTCTTACCGTCTAGTGTCTAACAATGCCTTCCTGATCACAGAACCTCTTGAAAACTCCATCCGTATACTCTGTACCATTATCCGATCGCAGAGTTTTCAGCTTTCTACCCATTCTGTTCTCAACCATTGCTTTCCAACACTTGAAAGTATAAAATACCTCATTCTTATGCTTAAGGAAATAAATCCAAGCATACCTCGAATGATCATCAACATTGTTGCACCCCAAAATTTGACCAACCTCTTTTCTTAATCTCTGGCTTATGTTTCATTGTTCTAGCATATTGCATTGCATATCATTTTGCATTTACAAGGGGTCAAGTGTCTGTCTGTGTACCACCTAAGAGGAAAGTCTTTATTGGTTTCGAGCTCAAGCAAAGGCACTAGTACGAACCATCAGAAGACTGTCAAGGAGTCCATAGGGTCTCATCATTAGTGTGAACACGAGGTAGAAGCTTGTTGAATACCTCAAAGGTTATAGTGAAGTGGAATGGTCACTCAGTTCATCTAAACGATGCTCAGGCCAAAAGGGTTGGAATTAGGGTTTCAATTTTAATCAGGATAAAATTTGTTTCTTGAAGCAAACTTGTTTCCATGGACCTCCACATGTTCTAAGATGTTTGAGGATGAGAGATCGATCATAAATTTTAATCAGAAGAGCTCAAATCGATCAGTTGATTGAAAATCGAGAGATTTGGGAAAAAGTCAATTGTGTAGTGAAAAAGTCAACTCTTGACTTTTTGAGGTCAAGATCATGTTCCTTAAATTCAATATGGCCAATGGATGAAATTTGATCAAGAAAAGTCAAGAGGATCATAAAAAGTCAAGAGTTGTTGAGAGTTTCCATTTTTGGGAATTAGGGTTTTAGAACTTTCCATTTATGGAAAGTTTTATGTTTGGAACAACCATTTTCAAAGCCATTTTTCTTCATGATAAAGGTTTCAAATGAACATTTGGCCAACATCAAAGTTGTTCCTTGTATCTCAAGCTTTCTTTTGAGTACCAATTCATAATCATATGATATTTGGAGCTCAAGTTATGATCGATCAAAGTTGGAGATTTCAATGGTTTCAAAAGTTGTTAAGTTTGGGCAGATTTTTGCACCACTTTGCAAGCCAATTTTCATCACCTTCTTGATGTCAAATGAAACTTTGTCCCAAATGAAAGTTGTAGAGTGTGTTCCAAGCTTTCCAAAGAGTCCAAGAAGTCCTCAATTGGATTTGAGAAGCTCAAGTTATGGATGTGAAAAGTTGGGGAAAAATAAGCCAATTTCATAACTTAGAATTGTTTCTAAGTTATTCATGAGCAGTTTGCTTGCCACGATTTTCAACCACAAATTTCATGATCTTCCAATCCTCAAATCAAGACAACTCCAACATGAAATTTGTTCTACTCCATGCCCTCTTTCCAAAGAGTCTAAGATCAAAGTAATTGGATTTG